AGGATAATCTACATGTAGACTTTGATTTACAGCCATTCATTTAGCAACTGTTAGAATTTACAACAGTGCTGAAAAAAAGTGATTTATGAACTGTCCTTATGCTTATAACCATCATAGCATCCGCATGCTCATATGATCAAAATTCAGGCACTATACAACAGTTGCATGTCCCAGATCATGTGATCATTATTTGTGATCTTCCCAACCAGCTTCTGACAAGCAAAGAGAAAGTCAGATTTCTTTAACGATCACATGATTTGCTTAATTGCAGTGATTTACTTAATGACTGACAAAAGGTTATACAATTAGATGTGTCTCAATTAACCACCTTGCTTGGCTCCAAAATTCTGTTCTTCATTGTGGTTGTAAATTGAGGACTATCTGTATCCCTAACTTGCCCCACCCCAAATCTCCCAGTAATGCACTGACTACCACTGTAATTGAATACATCCACCTTGCTCCTGGTTATAGTCTTCCCTTTTCGTCCACCTTTCCCAGCATCAGAACCTTTTCCAAAGATCTGGGCCTTTGCATAATGTGTCTAAACTAGGATAATAGGAGCCATTTGTGCCTCATTAGGTGTTCAATTTATTCATTACTCAGTTATAGAAAGTTTAGAGAAGTTATTACAGTCTGTGCTGTTCAGCACTTGGATCCCAAATATTCTGTAAAGGTAAAAGTTCCCCTCGCACATATGTGCTAGTCGTTCCTGACTCTAGGGGGCGGTGCTCATCTCTGTTTCAAAGCCAAAGAGCCAGCGCTGTCAGAAGACATCTCCGTGGTCATGTGGCCGGCATGATTCAACGATGAAGGCACACGAAACGCTGTTACCTTCCCACTAATTTTCCAATTTTTCTACTTGCATTTTTATATGCTTTCAAACTGCTAGGTTGGCAGAAGCTGAGACAAGTAATGGGACCTCACTCTGTTACACAGTGCTAGGGATTCGAACCGCCAAACTGCCAACCTTTCTGATCAACAAGCTCAGCGTCTTAGCTACTAAGCCCCGCATCCCTAATACTCTGTACCTAACTATAAATCTAAGGAAATTTAACTTGTTTCAGTTCACCATGTAACAATTACATTACATTTAATTACAAATGAATTAAAAGCTCATTTGTAATTAATGTGTTAATTTGTATTGCAGCACTTAGGGGAAAGGTTGGACTCAGTGGCGTCAGTACAGACTTTTGATTTTATCAATGTCTCTGTATTCTTGGCTTTTACCCCATTGAAGAAGTCTACTTTAACTGCAATTTAGATGTCATTGGATCAGATTATACAGAAGGCAGTGAGTGCTTAATTCTGCAGAAAGTATCATCACGTTGGGAAAATATGCAGGGTTTGGAAAGAGGAAAATTTGATCCTTCTCTGGCACTTCTTCCCACTTTCACTTCAGCTAGATTTTCACTGCTACTTTCCACTTTCACTGGGGGGTGGTGGGGAGCACCTTCCTTAGTATTGATGCCTATAAATCCCTACCTTGGATTTATTTCAAGGTAGGGATTTATACCTTGGATATTTCTTTTAGCTTTGTGCAAATGTATGGGCAGCAGACTTGAGGGTTGATGACAACAGTATCTACTTAATCTGTTGTTAAGCAACTACATTTGCTGGAGAGGGGAGAAATGTGCTTCAGCCTCCATTGATGTTCTTTAGGACTAACAGTGTTGCTGGTGAAACAATCGGGAGTTATTGATTGGGAAAGTTCTATAAAATAATATGGGCAAAGCTTTGCATGAGTTTTATATGAGTTAAATTGCACAATGCTGCTCAAACAATGAGCTCTTGGTCAGATGAGTGAAGTTATTTTGATATTTGGCTCCATCTTATAAGAAAGTTGGAAATCATGAGATTTTGAAGCATAGTGAAAATATGACTTTCTTTATTTTTTGGCTGTTTGGGGTGTGTTTCTCTGCCAAATCCAATTCTTCCATTGGAGAACTTGAGGAAAAGGAGAACTTGGATTGCAGTCAATATCTTTTAATTTTTGGTTGTTAACCCCATATAAAGCCTAAGTGCTGGGCTACAGTGAATCTGGGGCCTTATAAAGTAGAATGCTATTTTTGTGGTAGCCTATTATCTTTGGGGCACTGGAAGTTGTTATGGTTTTATGTTTTTTCATTATTTTGGGAGCAGCAGGGAGCCATAGAAGTTTACTAATAAATAAATAAAAACATTATAAAGTACCATACAGATTTATCTTAATGCTACCCACCACCCCTCCTTGTCACCATACAATCATTACAATTGTTTTTATTTTTTTTAGGAAAGTTTATAAGAGCTGTTTGATATAAAGAACCATTCTTGGACTTCACTTTGGTCTTTAAATTGTCACTAGATGACAGTTCCTCATTTTATTTATTTTTGTAGATTCAGATGGGGCAGGGAGCTTGGGAAACACCAAGGCACATATTTACAGTCACGCTGGTAACCCTGCCCACATAGTTGGGGGTCCTAGCAACAGAAGATTCCCAAACCAGTTGGTCACAGTTTCTTCTTTTATGTGCCCTGCAAAGAGAATAATACTTTGGCCCTTATGTATAATATATTGACAAAAACAAGCAAGAAGATCACCTTTTTGGATGGTTTTCTCCTACCTCCTTCCTTTTACTATCAGGTACTAAAAGTTCTTTTGAAAAAGACAGGACTAGGAAGTTCTATAGTGTTGGTAGCTTGGTGGTATTTTCTCAGAAGTGTCAGGTTTGAGCAAGAGATCTGAAAGTCCTGTTTTTAGTTCCTTTTATGTACTCTGCATTAGACAGACTATTACTCCAGCTGTTAATTTCAATTTTACACAAGCATTTTCTTTCGTTTAGCTTCCCTTTTATCACATACTGCCTGCATCATTTCCCATGGTTCCTACCCCTCATGAGCCTTGAGGGGAAACCAGCAGTTTTGTTTCAAGATGAGCTGTTTGCCAGGGACTAATTTCACCTAATAACAGCATACCTTATCTTCCACCGAGTACTTCCACAAAGTATCCCCTGCTATTAAATGCCAAGAGGTTCCATAGCAAGGCTCCCTTCATCCGAGATCTGGATGACCTCCAGATGTGAGTGTTCCCATCTCTGAGATATGCTATTGGGGGGGGGGGAGTAGTTACACCTTGGAAAATACTGATGGGAGTAACCCTGGCAGGCAGAAACAGGCACTCCATTCCAAGGCTAGATTCAGCTTGTCCTCTTGCCCATATCAAAAAAGTTATGAGGGTCTGGCTCTACCAGGAAACCTGAGGGAGAAGCACTTAATCTACCCCTCCCCGCCAGCCTGTTTAGCGAGGCAGACTGACCAGCAGAGATTTTCCCCTACAGACTCCCACAATGATATTTCAGCTAGTCCGTTGGCCACACCAAGCTGTTTGACTGGCACAACAGCCTCCACAGCTGGCTAATTGAGTGACATGCTGGCCCTTTCAAAGACATGCCGATGTCCACAGGTAGCCAGGTAACCCACCTTATTCCACTCAGGCCCTCAGCCCAGAAAAGGGGAATAAACCCAGAGAGTACATGACAAGCAGAGGAAGAGGAAGATGCATCACATAGATGAGGACATGGGAAGTGACATCTGGGAAACAACTACAGGTTATAAATAGGGTTGCTAATCAACTGCCAGGAGGACACGGCAAGTAGTCAATGCTGCTTGATCTCTGCCTGGAGCTCAACTTGGGTGCTCAACAGCAACATTTCTTTAGGACACAGCTTGAAACCTAGCCAGGAACTTGGCAGCGACTTTGCTATGCGACTGTATTTACAAAAGGTGTAGCCACGCTGAGGCAGCAATCCAATGAGTGCAAAAATCTTCAGATGGAAACAAGGACTATCTGACACTTCAAGAACAGTAAGGATTGATCTCCAAAGGCTTGTTTATGTGGCTAAGCCAAGCCATAAGGACCAGGAGGAAAAAGTTAACCCTGCTCAGCCAAGGCAATAGCTTCACATTGGGGGAGTGTGAGTTTATAATAAAGTGCTATGTAAAGTTTTAATCCAAGCTCTGGTGTAGTCTGTAGTCATTTACAAAACCCCAACTTGACATATATTTACTGGGTTTTTAGTTTATCACCAATTATCACAGTTTTAGGGCAGATGCAAGGCTGAGGTTCTGCTTTGCAAATGTTGGACTGTCTACAGTGAAGTTGGGTTCTAGAGACCATATTTTTAGCTGTTATGCCAGTTTTCCTGCTGTACAGCGATATCCCTAATGGGGCTGCTTGTCTCAGTTACTGCACTTACAGTAGGGTCTTAAGGTACAGCAACTCTGGGAGATTTTAACTTGCTTTCATGTGGCATAGACTCTGGGGTGGCTCAGGAGGTTGTCACACTCTGTTTTTCTCTCAGGGCATTGGCAACATAATAGGAGGTTGAGGACATTAACCTCAGTCCAAGTCAGAACATTTTATGGTTGCTTTTCAATAAGCTGGTGCTGCCTCTGCTTTCCCTTACATGGATGGAGTACCGATTTGCTCAGTCCACCCCAGGTGACCAATGCTCCCAGTGGGTTTCAGAGGGAGCCTTTGTTTTCCTGAGAATCTAGTAGGCAGTGTGACTTGAGGGCATAATTTCCAGCTGCAATGGATGGCCCTGCTGGGTGAGATGGATGGATGGATAGTCAGTTTGGTCTCGTCGTGGTTAAAAGCACCAGGCTAGAAAGCAAGAGACCATGAGTTCTAGCCCTGCCTTAGCCATGAAAGCCAACTAGGTGACTTTGGGCCAGTTATTCCCTCAGCTTAACCTGCTTCACAGGGTTGGCGTTGTGGGGAAAATAGGAGGAGGAAAGTGTGTTGCATATGATCATCACCTTAAGTTGTTTCTAAAAAATAATAAAGGCAGGATACAAATAAATATTACTTTTTGTTTCTTTTTAGATATTGTATTTGTTTTTTATCTGTTTCACCAAGAACATGTATTTGGAATAAGGAGACATTATTTTTCAGAATTAGTGTGAGAATATCAAGTTTTAAAATGTATTATAATATAATGTTCTTGTCTTTTTCCCCTCAGGGTTTTGACCCACCACATGAGAGTGATAATCGAACTATTTATATTGCAAATCGTTTTCCCCAGCATGGCCATTATGTTCCTCAGAAGTTTGCAGAAAACAGAATAATCTCCTCTAAGGTATGGGAAATTTTAACACCTATACATATGCTTTATAATGTGCAATAGTTCAAGATAAATTTTAGTGAGATATATCAGCATTTTTAAAAAAGCAACTCTCAGATGTGTATCTGAATAGGATTAGGGCATTTTATGATACTGTTAAACTAGTTCATTTATATATCATTACAGAATTTGTTTTTGTGATGCATCTTAGTTCAAAAGCTTGCTTAACTAAAAAAAAAATTCTAAAAACTGTCTCAGGTGAGTATATTTTTAGCCTTTATAAGCAACTTGCACAAAAGCAACGTGGTGATTTCCATTTTCAGTTCTAGGTGTGGTTTGACAGGGAAGGTTGCGAATTGCCGTCACATAGCAATTAGACTTATATACCGCTTCATAGGGCTTTCAGCCCTCTCTAAGCGGTTTACAGAGTCGGCATATCGCCCCCACAGTCTGGGTCCTCATTTCACCCACCTCGAAGGATGGAAGGCTGAGTCAACCTTGAGCCGGTGAGATTAGAACCGCTGAACTGCAGATAACAGTCAGCTGTAGTGGCCTTCAGTACTGCACCCTGCACCCTTCAGTACTGCGCCACCTCGGCTCTTGCATGCAAGATGCTGCAGCTGTCAAAGATGGCCCAGTTGCTAAGCACTTAGATTGTGATCATGTGACCACAGGATGGTGCAGTAATTATAATTTTGATGGCTAGTCCTAAGTCACTTTTTCTAAGGCTGTCATAACTTCAAAATGTCAATAAATGACCACTTGTACATTGAGGATTACCTATATGTCTTTACGTTAACCTCCCCATTAATATAAACAAAGGTTATTTATTTATTTACATTGTTTAAACACCACCAATTCCACAAAGACATTTAGCTGTTTATAAAATTGAGCATAACAATGTTAAAGCAATTAAAATTAGTAACACAAGTTCACAAATTAATCTCAATAAAGCTCAGCATTAGTGTTCACTGGTGTTTTCCCCTCTGGCGCTAGCAAACACCGGTGTTTTGAAAGGCCCAGAACACTGGCATTTGCTGTCATTTTTGCCAGATTGAAGTCTATTTCATTGAAGGATTTCCAGTAGCCAGTGTTCTTACAGTTGCTTTCCATGGTGTGGGCAAGGAGAGGGCTCAGGACTCCTAGGTCAGGGATCAGCAACCCGTGGCTCTAATGCCTCATGTGGCTCTTTCATCCCTCTGCTGCGGCTCCCTATTGCTCAAAATATGCATCACAACCGCCAATGTATGATGCCAGCCGGCATGCGATTTTATTGAGCTTTTCGACCCCCAGTAGGCCAACCATGGATAAATCCAAAAAAAAGAAAAGTTTCAGAAGAAAACAGAACGTTTAATTCAACTACATATGCGAGTTCTGTGGCCGCTCAGGAAATAGTCGGGCACGGGAAGGGTTTTGTGGCTCCCAGTGTTTTCTTTTCTATGGGAAATGGGTCCAAGTGGCTCTTTGAGTGTTTAAGGTTGTCGACCCTGTCCTAGGTAAAGTGGGAGGCCAGGCATTCTGTCTACCCCACCACATCTGGAAGGCCAGGGCTCTCCCTCTCTAGTACTCTGCTTAATGACCACAAATGGGAGTGTAGGTATTGCAGTTGTTCATTGAAGTGGCTGTGTGGCATCTCGCTTAACAACCACTTGGTTCAGCCAATATTTCATACCTCGTTGTGCTTGTAGTAGAGGAATACTCTTGAAGGCAATTGCAGTGCATTTAAGCTAAAGAACTTCATAGACAATTCACTTTATAGATAGTCCATGCATTTAATGTCTATTCAAAGTTACAATGGCAATGAAAAAAAGTGACTTATAACCATTTATGATTGTTACGGCATTCCCACAGTCATGCAATCAAATGTTGAGTGCTTTGCAACCAGCATGTATTTACAGGGGATGCAGCATTCTGGGGTTCTGGGATTGTCATTTGCAACCTTCCTAGGGAGTGTCTGACCAGCAAAGTCAATGGGGGAAGCCAAGTTCGCATAATGACTGCACAAGTCACTTAACTGCAGTGATCTACTTAACAACCATGGCAAAAATGGTCAAATGGGGTATGACTCTCTTAACAATGGCCCTGCTTAGCAATTTTGGACTCAATTGTGGTTGTAAATTGAGGATAACCTATATTAAAATCAAAATGAATATAACATCTCTTACATTGTAGAAAACCCAATATCAGATGTCAGGTAATTCTTCTTTATGAATACCAGTATTGTGTTGCAAATTTAACACATAAAGGTAAACATGGAACTTAATTGGCTGATATGAATGTTCTAAAAGAGAACTTGTAGAATTTTGAATGCAAAATACAGTTCTACAAAAATGATTGAAGTTGAAATTCAGTTTTTAAATGTAACTTTTTTTTTCTCTTGCAGTATACTGTGTGGAATTTCGTGCCCAAAAATTTATTTGAACAGTTTAGAAGAGTAGCCAATTTTTATTTTCTTATAATATTTTTGGTTCAGGTAAGTTGGATAATTTAACACTACTTAAACATGTGCAATTGAAATGAGGGATTTGATAAAAGATCCTGTTGAATATAACCAAACATAAACCTTAATTTTTCTGACTTTTGAAACAAATAGTGACTTACTCAGAGATAGAATTCATTTATGTCTAGTGATATCCATACTGCTATTATCTGGACATGTTCATCCATGTTTCTTTTGTGGTTTCATAAGGCATTAGCTGATGTGCTTCATAAGGTTTATTTCTAGTGACTAATATGTTTTCTTCACGCTAAAAGAGGGATGTTAAAAATGTTGATGCAGTTTAGCTATTATACATAATATATTTTTAAAGCTGGTTTCCTGTAAATTGGCATTTCATCTGATTGCGTACCCTCTCTTAATCCGTCCCACATATGATTACAAATTAAGCAAAGATAGGAGTAAAATATTAGTTAGCTTCAATTTTTCAAAGCAAATGCATGGAAATATGAATTAGCAATATTGTCAAAATCCTGAGCTAAAGTCACTAGTAAAGACCTTTCCTAATTTGATATTTAATCTCAGAGAGTGAATTCCAGGAGGAATTTAAGCATCAAAGCTATATTTCTATTTATTAACCGGTCCGATGGGTGGTCATTTGCTTCCTCCATCTTTCCTGGAACCTGGTCAGTACTATAATCAGAAATTTAGCTATTGTTTGGGCCTTGTGCTATTGAGATTATATTGATTTTTGCTGTCGTCCGTCACAAGATGGTAGCAGATATTTAAAATATTGTAATTATATATATAAAGTGCGCACACACACACACACACACACACACACACACACACACACACGAGATCACTAAGAGTCCACAATGCCTTAATGACACATAATCAATCAATACATTGTAACAGCAGGTGAGACACATAGAGTTGACCCATGGACTTGATTGTTGTCCAAAGCTAACAGGATGGAAAAGAGATTTATTTATACCCTGTCGAAAGAACAGGCTCTCAAAAA